AACAATTAATCAGTGGAACAGCTTGCCTCCAGAAGTTGTGAATGCCCCAACACTGGAAGACTTAAAGATGTTGGATAACCATTTGTCTGAAATGGTATAAGGTTTCCTGCCTAGGCAGGGGGTTGGACTAGAAGATCTCCAAGGTCCCTTCCAACTCTGTTATTGTATTGTATTGTAGCTCTGTCCATAGCATGGTATTGTCCTGATGCCAAATGAAAAGGGACAGTAATGCACATATATATTTATGTGGGTGCACATTCATTCAACCATATAGAGCATGGGTGTCAAACTCAAAGCTCGGGGGCCGGATCCAGCCTGCGGGATGCTTAGATCTGGCCAGCGGGCCCCCCTGGAAATAGTGAAGGACCAGCCCGCAGTGCCTCTGCCAACGAAAATGGAGCTTGGGAGAGCCACGCGCAGCCCTCCCAAACTCTGTTTTTGCTGGCAGAGGGTCATAAGAGGCCGTCCCAGCCAAAACCAGACTGCATGAGGGCCATGTGTACACCCCCAGCTCTGTTTTCATTGGCAGAGGGTCATAAGAGGCCATCCCAGCCAAAACCAGAACGCATGCAGGCCATGTGTACCCCCCAGCTCTGTTTTCAGTGGCAGAGGGATGTAAGAGGCCGTCACAGCCAAAAACAGCTCGGGAGCCTGTTTTCACTGGCAGAGCACTTGGGCCACCACAGGTGCCCCCCAACACAAAAGGCCCACCCTGGGCACACCCACCCCAGCCCTCAATGAGGTCAAACACAAATCTGATGCGGCCCTCAATGAAATTGAGTTTGACACCCCTGATATACAGCTTTAGCAATGGAGATATTTTGTAATTTTATTATGAATCTGCAGTCTTCAGCTGATTGATGGAAAGTGGGATATAAATGTAGTTAATATATAGCTAGTGGCAAAAAATAAAGGCAAGTGGACACTTTTGTGACAATACTTTCCCTATAATTAAATATGTAGTTTTATGTAATGTATATAGTCTGGAATCCAGTGTGGTGTGGAAGTTAAGGTGCAAGACGAGGAGAAGGGATACTCGTGTTCTAGTCCTTCCTTAGGCATGGAAAATAATTGGGTACTCTTGTGTCATTCACCCAGCCCTAATCAGTGTCAGGCTCTGTGATGAGCCAGCTGAGAAACAAGTTAGAAACATTGTCACTTCATGCATTGAGAGTTTTGCAGTAAGAAATAAACAAGTACAGTGCAAACCAAATCCTTTTGCTTTCCAGGTAGGGCTATGATCGTTAGTTACCATAACCTGGAGTAAAGATTTAAAAAGTGGCAATCTATAGATATGATCAAGGTGGTAGCTTGGGAAGAATGGTCATTTCAATGAGAAGAGACCTCCTCACAAATTTTTCTCTCGGGGCTCATTTATTATCCCATGCGATACACTTTTTTAAAATTAAATGTGAACTCTCTCAATATGGTTTATAAATTATGATTTATGAATTTGTACTAGATAGGAAACTACCTTAGTGCTGGGGGATGCACTTAAAAGATGTTGACCTCCCAGAGGGCAAAACCTCTAATGTCACAACACTGAACATGTGTTTTACTTTTTTTATGGACCTTCTGTATTTGGGCTGAAAAAAATGGATAATACCTCTAGATGGCATAGATAAAGCTCTACCCCTTTGCTACCATCTAATAGTTGTATGGATGTCTGCAGCTCAGTTATGGCAAGCCAAGTATTGGGAGACAATAATTTTGACCTTTGTATTAAACAATCCTGGAAAAATTGACAGAGTTGGGAATTGAGTTAATGGGTTCATTTAACTCCACAAGACTTAAAAATCAATTTAATTGCTTATACATTTTCCATGTCCAGTTTGGGAGGTATTTAAATAACTGTAATTCCCCAAACACAGTAAAAGTGTTAAAATATTGGTTTAGTGTATAGCATAATTTAAGAGTGATTTATTTAATAAATTGTAATTAGGCATAGCTTGGCATTACATGAAAACCCAATCACTAGTAAGTGTCCTTTCCCTATCTTACCTTATCTACCATATCAAATAACTAGAAGAAATGAAGAGAAAATAATTGGTCGACAAAAGCCTTTTAACTACATTATTTCCATGACACACTTGAAGTATGGACCGAAGATTTTCGTTATTCCTATAAATAATTTCCGCATCTGTTCACCTTTAGTCTCAACTGTTGTTTTCTCCTTTCCACTGTCTTATGATTTGACGAGTTTATGAAATTGATAGAGAAAGCGAAAATTAACAGTGACCATGATTACTAATTACTGCTTAGATTCAGATTCAGTTTACTTTGGTTATTGAATTAAACCATATTGGAGTTCACAAAATACAGTGAATAATAAACTAGACAAACTGGGTTTGTTGTGAAAACGCAGTTGCTAGATCTTTAACTGATTTGGTAATCAAACCAACTACTATGAGCCAAAATATTTCTTTATTTTTGAAGTTATTTCCATGTTCCCCCTTATTTGAGTTTAATCCTAGACAGGAGAAACATCCAACTTAACAAGAGCAAGGTAATATATCTCATAATATTTCATATATATATTAAATGTCCTACAGAGATCACTTCATCAGAGTTACCTGCTAAAGGTAAAAAGGTAAAGAAAGATGAAACAGTCAAAGGAAAAGAATCAGCAGCTAAACCAGGTGAGATAATTTTGTTGTTAAATTTAGTACTTGCTGATTAAAAATATATTCACGACTTTCATTTTCAAACAGTTGTGGCATATTTTGATCATATTTTGGTTGATTGATTGATCAAAATAAATTGGACAAAGACAAGACAATACTTTTTATAAAAGGTTCTTAATTCTGTATAAGAATTGCTGTACTTAGTGAGTCTTCAATTGAGGATGTGGGTAAAAGTATTGTATGTTGGTTTGGAAAATAGTTTCTCAATTAGAGATCCCGGTTTATATAGAATAAAATAAAACTGAGCTTTGGATGCACTTAATTTATCCTGGCCAAAATGCACAAAAGTTGACCTGTACTGTATTTATGGTTAGCAGGTATTGTAGCTTTGGCAGACATATTTGTAACAGACTACATTCTATTTGCTGGCTGAATTTCCTAGTAGACATTTTAAATCTGGAAGTGAGAATTAACATTTTATAGTAGAGATCTCTGGTATTTACAAAGTATATTACCATGGGTAACAAATCAGATGAGAAATCAATACTGAATAAAATTAAGTTGGCAGCTTACTTGTGGTTAAATCAGTTCCCCCTTCTCATATTTATGATGATGCCCCAGAGCTATAAACATAAAGTGTAGCACGTTTATTTAAAAGTTGTTATCTGTCACGCTATGTCATATAAATACAAACATTTGGATTTAGGAACATATTAAGTGAAGGAATAAATGATGGATTATTTTTGATGTGAACTGAATAACTATCATACTTTGGCATTGGCATCCTTGAGGGAGTAGGTCCAATAGCTCAATAATCAGATTCTTTTCCATCAGAATCTCAACTGTAATTGTTCACAAAGGAAATGACCAGAAGTTCAGATCCAAGATTGAAAAAATTATTCTTGGGAACAGATGATGTGATAACTTAGTAAGCCAGAGCAAAGACGTTTACAAGGAGTACAAAGAATCTCCAGAAAATCTCTTCCAGTGCAAGAACTAATGGAAGAGTAGTAAAATTGGTTACCAACATGTGATGGAAAGAATAAGAAATCCAGATAGGAACATAAAAAACTAGTTCCCACTCTACTACATATTAATCATATATTGTCGTTCATTCACGGGGTGGCTAATGTCTAAAACCTCTTTTCATTTGTTGCAACTGTTTAAAGAATCACTGTTCAGAAGAAGGTGAGTGCTGAAAAAAATTAAGTCTGGGTCTAGGATAGGGCAAGAAGAACCCCTTGGAGAAAGTTTAATGCAAGCTGGTATATAGATAGTAGAGGGTGGCCTAATCTCATTTTCTTTCCTTCCTAAGAAACTTTACAGCATCTTTTCATGTACAGACACAAATACAAACACATACATACTTACATAAACAAATATACATATGACACTATGATCAAAATCAAAGTCCCCAAATATTGGTCCAAAAAAGCACATTTATAAGGGTGATAAGTTGATTGCCATGAGAGCAAAACATCAATATTTCTATGGCATAAGACAGTCTAAAGATACTGTTCTCTATTGTTCTTAAGTCATTCCTTCTTATCTTCTCCCTGGAAAAAGAGGCATTTTACTTTTATTTGTATTTAAGGAACTCCACGAGGAAAAGGGCAGACGTCATCTTCCCCTGAAGATATGTTGCCTTCTAGTACTGTTGAACCACCTACAATCAAACCTGGGTCAAGTGAATGGGTTTACTGTGATGATCCAGTACCCCAAGTAAGCTGTCCAGAAACAGCAGTTTATGATTATCATTTCCTTTCTTTTCCTTTCCTTTCCTTTCCTTCCTTCTTTCCTTCCTTCTCTTGCAAAGTTCAGTGATCAGAAATATGTTTTGTGATCCAAATCCACATCCAGATAGCAATAGCAATAGCAGTTAGACTTATATACCGCTTCATAGGGCTTTCAGCCCTCTCTAAGCAGTTTACAGAGTCAGCATATTGCCCCCAACAATCTGGGTCCTCATTTTACCCACCTCGGAAGGATGGAAGGCTGAGTCAACTCTGAGCCGGTGAGATTTGAACCGCTGACCTGCTGATCTAGCAGTAGCCTGCAGTGCTGCATTTAACCACTGCGCCACCTTGGCTCAGATTAGGCAACGTGTCTAAGGATTCTATGTAGTTACCATACATCTAGAGGACAATTGGATCAAACTGGAGAAATTAGCTTCATTTTGTCTTTTTTTATTATTTTGAAAGAAATCTCTGCCATATTTATACAATACTAGGTTGATATGTGATTCTTCAGATCCTCACCCTTACATTCAGCAACTAGCTAAGAATGGCTCTTACCATCTATCTTGCTAGTTCAACGTGAAGACATGAGGGGTGAAATGTTACATTAAAAAAACTTGAGAAAAGTGAGTTTTTAATATTTATTTTTCAATATTTGTCTTCTGCTGTTCCAAGGAAATCTGATTCTGTCAGCACTGTCTAATGACAGCATTAAGACATAATTTATGCTCAGTAATAGTAATTAACTCAAATAGCTAGATTCACACACCACTGTAAACTTTAAAACCGCAACTGCTTTGTTCATATAACTTAGACAGAACTGCCACCATTTCATTTTCTCTGATTTTGGTGTGGAAAGGTTTCCAAGACTAGAGAATTTTAGGCTGTTTAGTGTGAGACACAATCTATATTCTATTTTTACACACTTCCTGTTTGGTATACTGTAGCTACCTATACAGCAAACTTGACCCAGCACTCTAGTCAAGAAAAATAAAAATCAGTGCAGTAAAATAAATAAACTTGATAGCAGGGCAATTATTGCCTGGATTTATCTAGCATGTGAGAATGAGTAAGAAGAAACTTTCTTATCAGAAAGTTTTCCATATAGACCAATAGGACTTGGCTGATACATAACCTGAGGCTACATATGACATGCTCTTCTTTTCCTTAACATTTAAGATAGGCAATGTATAGATAAATACATGTGAATCCTGTATTTTTACAACTTAACAGGAAATAGCAGAATTCCTAGTTCCTTATTGGGAAACAATAGAGAGATCATATATCAATAGCACCAAAGCAACCCTTCGATGCCTCAGACATGAGCAACATGTTATCATTCATTACCTGTCAGACATAAGGTGAGTGTTGGGACTGCTGGGTTCAACTTCCTCATGTCTCTTTTTCTGCTGTCTTCCAACCTCCTGGATGGATCTTTCATTTCACTGTCCACAGAAACCATTTCAAGGACTATTTGAAGCGTCCAGACCACAAGCAGGAATTTGTGACTCAGTGGCAAATGGATTATAATTCAGTGTCTGATGATTTATGGGATGATGACGAAACAAAAGAAGAACTACATCAAAGAGTTACCGTAAGAATTAACTAAAAGTAGGAGATGGTTTACTAATTCATAGCAAGTTGGTTTTGTTTCTTATCAAGATGAATGTGGCATTGTAGGGAAATATACCTCGAGGCTTCATTTCTAAACAGCTTCCACTGAAATAAACTAGTGCCAGAAAATACTTTGCATTGTTTTTACCAATTCTCACTCCATGAAAGACAATTGGTTTATCTTTTTTCCCCCAAAGACATTCTTGTAAAAGGAAAAAAAAACTTGGGAAAGGGTTTGAAAAAATATGGAGCATCTTTAAATTATAAGGTTGTGTTGAAGTAGACGTGAACATACAGGTAGTCCTTGATTTAAGACTACCATTGAGCCACCAATTTTTTTGTGCTAAGTGAGACATTTTATTACCTTTCTTGCCACAGTTGTTAAGCGAACCACTGCAGTTGTTAGTAAGACAGTTGCTAAGGGAATCTGGTTTCCCCATTGACTTTGCTTATCAAAAGGTTACAAAAGATAATCACACGATACTGGATCATTGCAGCCGTCATTAATCTGACTCAGTTGCCAAGCATCTAAATTTTGATCACATGACTCTGAGGATGCTGCAACAGTTTTAAGTGTGAAAAATGGTCATAAGTTACTTTTTTCAATGCTGTTGTAACTGCAAACGTTTCACTAAATGAACTGTTGTAAATTAAGGATTAATTTCACTACAGATAGATATCAAGGCTTAAGCATTATGTTTTAAAACACAGCTTTCTGACTTTACCTAGTGACTGTCCCCCATTTATTCCACAGAATAAATATATTTTGGTGATGAGATTAGTTAACCGATCAATGAATTCTATGGTTCATTGAACATAGGATTATTTGTTTGCCACCAATGTACTCTTAAATGTGCCAGTGAGCTTGGTTTCCTCAATGTAAGACAGAAAACTCTACCAGGTTCTCAGATCATGGTATCTAGCGAAAATCTAAAGATGAAAGGACTAAAAACTGGCTTATCTCTAAAAACACATGGTAAACATGGCCACTGACCACAACACCTGCTTAGGTTACTGGGAATGACAAGTTTATGGTCTCACCTATCCAAGCAGCTTTGCGAGTCAGATAAAAGAGGGAAAGGAACAGAAACTTTGTCTTTAAAAAAGCAGTGCTTAAAGCCTCATTGAGGCAATAATTTTCCACACTGCGGTAGAAAGTGGGAGTTTTTTTAAAAAAAAAACAGTCTCTTTTTTAATCCATCATAAATTACTGAGATATAAGCAGTGAAGTCACATCCTTTCCTATTTCATTGAAAAAACTAAACAGTAAAAACATGTCCTCAAATGATGCATGCAAACATGTAAACAGATTAGCAATATAATACTTTCAGTGTACCCTGAAAGTTTTTTTAAAAAAGTAAAGTATGTTTTGGTATAATAGAATAAATTAACATAATGTCAGTTTATGGAAATGTTTGCTTCAATGTTACCTTTATTTTCTTCATGATTTTAATATTAAATTGTACAAATATAACTCATGAAAGAAAAGCTATTCAAGCATTTTTCTAGAACAGAAAACATCTATAGTTTAGTTCTGGGAGAGGGTTGTTCTTGTTGTTTTGCCTAATAACTAGAATTGTTGTTGAAAATTAATCAAAGTGTGATTTCCTCCAATTTGATCTATTTTACTTCTTTAAAAAGAGAGAAATGTTTTAAATTGCAAGCAACGGAGATTTCTACTAAGCATTTTATAAAACAAATGGCACAGAGAAGCAGCACCTTACAATGAGAAAAAACATTAGCCACCAACATATTCTATAGCCTTGGACTGTGTAAGTTAAGAATAGTAGTTTTTTTTCCAGATGTTCTGCATTTCCATTTCCACAATCCCTTACTATTGGCTCTATTGGCTGCTTGAAGATCTGGAAATCAACATGTTTCTTTGCCCTGTGTGATGTATGGCCCGAGGTGTTTGCCATAAAACTGGTATAAAAAACCAATAACAACCATATATAATCTGATTTCTTACCCATTAGGGAGGCTTTCAGTGATGAAAACTTCCCTAGAAAGAATCCAATTCACATTCACAATTAACCTTTGTATCTGATGAATGTTCCATGCTTCTGTAAAGGATACCAGATCCACCTGATAGTATTGGTAGCTTTTGTCTCCCACCAGTGCCCCCCCCCTCCCCGGCCAAAAAATGTCCCATCTAATCCTTTATTTTTTCAGACAGCAACCATTCTGGCAAAAAGAGATTGTAGATAGTGCAAACTCTATGAATAGTGTGTCTTCTCTGTGCCATTCTACATGAAGAAAATCTGCTTTAGATTTTGTAACAATAAGATTTTGTGTCAGTTGTATTCAGGGGTGGGTTCTGGCTGATGCTACTGCCGGTTCGCTCAGAGACGCACTGCATGTTTGTGCGTGCTTGATATGCACTACACGTGCATGCGCAATAGTAAAAAATTACTTCTGCACATGCACAGAAGCAAAAAACAAGATGGCACCGCCTATAGTGCCATTGAAAGAACCAGTTCAGGGGTGTGGCAGGCCGAATTACCGGATGGAACCCACCTCTGGTTGTATTGAAACCATGAAAATATTATCAGTTTTTGTATGGTTTGGTACATATAAGGCAGGGATAAATGATATTTTAGGCTCAGAACCATATTTGATCACTAAATTGAATGTAAACATAAACATTTAATTTGATGGATTGAATATAGTTTGTGTCTATTGTCTGCAAATTTTCACTCCTTAAGTCACCTTTAAAATTGCACTTTGATTATAACTGAAATGATCCTTAGTCCCAGTATGTGTGAAAGTGGGAACTCTAGCAGCTGATATCTGAAGTGGAACTGTATTTAGCTAGTTTATGTGGAGCGGGGGGGGGGGGGGGGGGAGAGGATTGGGATGGAACATTTTGAACGTTTCAGAACATTATTGGTTTTAAAAAAATCTTTTTTAGGATTTAAGAGATCGCTTGTGGGATATCTGTGAGAACAGGAGAGAAGAAGCTGAGCAGGAACGTTGTGATATTATGAACGATGGCTGGTTGCCCGACCGAATTGGGCTTCTGATGAACCACATTTTTTCTCTTATGCAGGTCTGGAATATGATAAAAGGAGCTTTGCATTTTCATGTGCTATGAATTTTTGGCTGAAACGAGGAATAACTAGATTATTAGAAAAATAGCCAATATAATTAATAATTCTCTGCTATTCAAATGTATAGGGTTCAACATTTTGTGCTATGTATTGCTTGGAGTGTTATTAAATAACAGTTTTATAATCCAGTTGCAATGGAACTCTATGGCTACAGAAATAGAAGATGAATGTTCAAAACTACATTACAGCATGGATGTCACATTCACATTGTATAGCACAGTCCACTGGGTACCAATTCACATTTCTCACTACAATATTTATTGGGTCTTCAAAAAGTCACATGAAACCCTGGTGTTTGTAAACTTTTAGATTGTTGATAGAGTCTTAGCTTTGTGTGACTGGGGTAGCTTTGCCTGTCCAAACAGGAATCCACAGTGCAAGTCTGGCCATTGGTAACAGCTCCAAACCAATGACCAGTATGGTGGAGAACTATGTTAAGACACCAACACACACACACAAGCACACCACCACCACCAGTCTACTCTTAATCTCCTGTTCCATTTTTCCAAACATATGAATCCTTAAAGGTGAAAGTCTTCTCTCTAGGCCACTGGACAGATACAGTGAAGTGGAAAAACATAACATCATAATTGCAAAGAGCCACATAGACTATTAAATTTAACCCACTGCCTATCTCCCAACAAATATCTGTCCAGCTTTTGTTTGAAGTCATCCAAACAAGATAAACCCAATATTCATTAAGTGTATCTCAAAAGAATCAGATTCAAGGTTCTTCATGGCCCTGATCCATACAAATGGTAACAGGAATCCTTCTTAGAGGCTGAGCTTAGGTTTGACATCATTATTTGTAGGCTCATAAGGGATCCTGAATGAGGTACATAGGAGGAATATCAGATAGAAATGCAACAAATTACCAAAAAAGAGGTTACCATGGGTAGCATTAGGATAGATAATATTTTTATTTTGTATCTTGTTCAATCCCAAGACCCCTGAACTGGCAGAAGCTAGAGGAGATCTGGTACAGATTTAAGAAGTTTAAGCTAAAACCTTTGACCTGATCATTGTCCTACTCAACTGGATTGTTTATTGTTGTAGTTCCTCTCTCTTTCTGTCTCTGTTTCCCCCTTTTGAGATTGTGGCTTTGTGAATTTTCCCATGAATACATGGCACTGTTTTTACTTTTCAGTTATATATTTAGCGGCTTTTAGTCTAATAATAAATCAAAAGGATGACAGGTGCATAAAGTTTTGTTTCAGATGTACAGATTCTCTGAACCTAGCAAATTGTACTTGACATTATTTTTCTTGTTGGATTTAAGCATAATTGTAGAATGAAACTAAAATGCTAATTGAAGAATTATTGAGTGAAAATTATCATTTAGGCCCAAACTAGATGGTTTTGGACAATTACTCATATTTTTGCTCTATTCTGTAAAATCTATAGACAGACAAGACTATTATTACTTGTTCAACATACCATGGTTTAGTGTTACATTCACTGCATCTTCAGCAATGCTAAATTAATTAATAATCATATCTGCTATTTACAATATATATAGTACACATTTGTTAAAACATTTGATCAAACCTTCATGGTTAATGTTGGAGTACAATCATATTTTAAGATAAAGAGAGAGAAACAACACATACAGATAATTAATGATGCATACAATCTTATGACTGTTCTCTTAATTGTGATTTTTAAAATATGTTCAGCTTGTGTCAGGTCTGTTGGCTTAGCTACAGTATTATAAATCTCCAACAGGAATAATAGTATTATTAATGGATGCTTAATTAACATATAGTTAAAACTCATAGTCCTTTAACGTTATTAATTCCTAGCTCAAATGTACAAAATTGGGCACTAGCTCCTTTGTTCCAAAACATTGGAACCCCAATTGTAAAGATGAGAAGGGATTCTTTTAAGAATAGTTTTCTAACAACAGTATAGATGTTGTAAAATTGTCGTGCATTTTCAGAGGGATAAGAGGATTAATTTTTTTGTTTTCTTTGGACATCATAAAGGATGAAATGGACCGTTTCCAAGATACCAAAAAACTTCTAAGTGATTATTATAGAGCAATGGAAGGCAAAATTCCAACAGACACCAGCTCTGACTTTTCCAGAATACCCTTAATAGATGTGATGGAAAGAAAGCTATCTATGGAAGAGTCCAAGATGAAAATGTATGATAAAAATGGGAGAACTGCAGCAATTACTAAATAAATATATTTGTGTTGGAGTACATATAAATAGGAGAAAGAATACTTGTATGAATGTACTACCGTTATATATTCATAACTGGTATGAAACATGAGCTTTAAAAAGGTGTATATGTGTTTGATACAAAACATTATGTGAGGCCCTAGAAAACCAGGGCCAGTCAAATAACACAAAAATAGCTAAATGAGAATGGAGTGGTCTGAAACCCAAAGCAGCCTCCTTGAAGAGTGGCCACAGGGACTATCCAACAATTGTTAGTAAATTGTAATTTTCAGTGAGACAGGAAAATGGTGAAATATGTGATTGGAGATATATTAATAAGTATTAAATAATTAATAGCAATAGCACTTAAATGTATATACCATTTCACAGTGCTTTACAGCCCTTTCTGGGCAATTTACAATGTCAGTCTATTGCCCCCAACAATCTGGGTTCTCATTTTACCAACCTTGGAAGGATGGAATTGAATTGAATTGAATTTATTTAGCTTGTATGCCGCCCTACTCTCGGAAGACTGAGTCAATCTTGAACGGTCAGAATTGAACTCCTGGCAGTTGGCAGAATTATCCTGCAATACTGAATTCTAACCATTGCACCACCATGGCTCTTACATTTGTGGTTAATAATTAAGTTAATTGTAATTAACTAATTATTATTTATTAATTATTAACATAAGAGCATGGTGTCTCAAGTGGCTGGAACTCTGGGCAGGAGGTTGGCAAGTTCGCATTCGAGATGTGACAGCTGCCATGGGGCGGGATTGAGCTGTTATCCTTAACTCTAGCTCCTGCTAGGAACATGGAAGGAGCCCCCAACTGGACATCCCCAAGGCAACAGTGATGTCACTTCTACCCGGAAGCACCTCAGAGCTTTTGACATGAATACAAAAAAAATCATTAACATTAACTTATTAACTAACTTTCCATTAAATTAGATTATTAAAGCAAAATGATATGCAATAAAATTTATTTTGCTTCTGATTCCACCCATTACATTTTGGAGTGCAGCCACTCCATGGCTAAAGCAAAAGCACTCAAAGGAACGAGCATCAAAAAATAAGAGCCACAACCTCATGATCCAAATCATACTCCTTAATTACATATGTCACATGTACGCTGTTAAATATGTGTGGGAAGAAAGTATTGTGGTAGCAAAGTGTGAGAGATGTAAATTAGATAAAGATATGTATTTTATGTTTCTCTAATTAGTAAACATATATCCCCTATAACTGGGAATTTGCCACACCTGGCATTTCAGGGGCGGGCAGAAAAGGGAAGGGAAATACAAAATAAAAGCAATACACTTAAGTAGGTATTAAACTGAATTAAAACAGCATAAAACAATATGAAAATGAGTTTTCAAGAACGCTTCATCAAGCAAAGTGATACAAGAAACTAGAAAACTCAAAAATCAATTTATACACTAAATGTCCTAAGCATGATGGGAGAACTTGCAACTTGTGATTCACTCTTGGGCACCATTGCAAGTGTAACCAACCCAAATGTCAGCCATACTTTTGAAGCTTGTGCTACATTTTCTGTTAAAATCTGTAAAACTGTAGAAATATAGTTAATACATTAAAAATAGAGCATCTGGGGAAGCAGGACTTACTTATCTCTTTCCTCTCCTTTCTTTAAGAATTCCTATGATTGCTCACAGATCTCCTTCACCAGAAGTTAACAGAGAAAGAATCAAATTGATTCCAGTTAAGATCAAGGAGGATCTGTTTTCAGAAAGTGTAATATTTAATTTCAGCCCAGATGAGAAACTGCTCACAGAGACATGGCATTATATTACAACAGCTATATCTTCCATGGTAGGTAAAGCCTTTATTTAAAGAGACGGGTCATAGATGTCTGGGGATAAAAGAGAGAAACAAAATGTGTGCATGATGTTGGAACTCTGGAACCAGGTCCCCAATTCTTTTTAGGGGATCCACCATAACTTCATATAGTTCCTATGTCAGGATTCCAACTGACGAACCCAAATAAGCAAGCACTGCTGAGACGATCCAATCTCTTTTTTGCAAAGATTTATTGAGTACATCATTTCAGCACAGACTGAAAGCAAAACCAGCTCTACTTAATTCCTGTGGTTTTTGCATAGTTAGATAATAGTTTCTTCCTACCCTCATTAGTACAGGTCATGTTGTCCAATTAGATGTCTAGGTATTGTTGTGGGAAACTGTTGAAGTCTTTGTCGACAATCTGGTTAGATGATCTTGGTTCCCATGGGACAATTCCTTCTTGTCACCTGGAACTGGCATTCCAAACCTGGTCTTCCCCACAACCTCCGGTTCAATGGCAAGCTGAGAAGTGAAAATGGCAGCAACAGCATAAGCATGCTTCTAACTTGATATGCTAAATGCTTGTCAATCAGAAGTTCAGCGGTTCAAATCCCTAGTGCCATGTAACGGGGTGAGTTCCCGTTTCTTGTCCCAGCTTTTGCCAACCTAGCAGTTCAAAAGCACATGAAAAATGTAAGTAGAAAAATAAGAACCACCTTGATGGGAAGGTAACAGCGCTCTGTGCGTGTTCAATGTGGCCACATGACCATGGACACGTATTTGGACAGCACTGGCTCTTCAGCTTAGAAACAGAGATGAGCACCTCCCCTAGAGCCAGAAATGACTAGGACACATGTGCAGGGAACCTTAACCTTTACCTAACAATATTCTTGCTCAAAAAGCATCTTCACCACTGTTCTACTTTAATGCTTCTAAAATTTCTATTAATAAATGTTGGTATATAAAATTTTAGGTGAGTTCTGAAATTCAGTCAAAAGAAGCGGAAGAAGAGAAAGAACGGCTTCTGGAGGAAATGAAGGAAAAAGAGCGCCTCAGATCTTCAATAGCAATTGCTGGCAAAGGTGGCAAGGAAGGAAAAGGGAAAGGAGGAAAAGGCGAAAAGGAAGGAAAAGGTGGAAAAGATGGGAAAGCGGTCAAAGCCAAGGACAGCAAAGACGATAAGAAAGGAAAAAAGAAAGGTAAACAAAGTTTAGTGACATATTGTGGTCCTATTCAGAGCAGGACCAGCAAACAGATACTAGAAGAGTAAGAAAAACACCTTGTCCACGCCATCCTAAAACTTCTCCGCATCTTCCAGATGTAATGGAAACAAAACTCCAGCTTTCTTAGGTTGTACTTCCAGGGAACATTCAAAAGAGCCAGGTTGAGGAGGAATGGTCTAGTTAAGACAACACCAAAAGACATTTTTATGGAACTTGGGAAAGAGTTTCCTCCTTTTCCCCAAAACTCAGAAAGAGTTTGGGTTAGGTTTTTTTTGTCCTGAAACTTGCTAGGATCCAGGAGAATATTTACTCTAGGGAAGCAGCACACACAGACTAAAAACATCTGGTTGCAAATATATGCTCAGAATTTTTTCAGGGAGGATGATTGCTTTATTTGGGTTCATTGCTGCAGATCTAACTCATAGAACATAGAACAACAGAGCTGAAAGGAACCTTGGAGGTCTTCTAGTCTAACCGCCTGCTCAAGCAGGAGACCATTTCAGACAAATGGTTGTCCAGTCTCTTCTTCAAATCCTCCAATGATGGAGCACCTTCAACTTTTGAAGGCAAGTCAGGAAATTTCTCCTGCAGCAACACTAGGCAAACAACTCTTGATAAATGAGCAAAGTTCAGACTTTGTGTTTTATAAATATTTGAATGAAACTCCTTTTTTAGAACTGTCAGAGGTTCTCAAAGGGTAACAAGCAGATTTGAGAAGGACTGCGCTTATTCCTGCTCTGCTCAGATGGGAATGAACTTCACAGAGCTGTTGATGCTGAGCTGGGCTGTGCACAAGTTTCAGAAGGTGGGCCTGGCCTTTTGAAACTTGTGCACAGCCTGGCTAAATGCTATCCAAGATGACCTGGCCAGGTTCAGGGCCTTCTTGCCTAATCTTGTTTCCCACTTCCAGTCTTGAGGCGCCGTTCACTTGCAAACCTCCTAATATTTTGTGGTTGAGCACAAATGCAGTGCTTGAGCTATCTAGAGATGATCCATAGACTCAGTGCCAAAACCCAACATAATAAGTGGCCCCAGGAAAATGCCAGAATGTTTTAAGTACACCAAACTGGACAATCACTACACAGCACTCTCATTTTGCCTTGACAATTTAAGCACTATCTTATCCATACACTCTTGAGCATGGTCCAACCATTTACAGGTAATCCTCGGCTTACAACAGTTCATTTAGTGACCATTTGAAGTTACAATGGCGCTGAAAAGGGTGACTTTTCCACACTATTTTTCACACCATTGCATGTTCCTATGGTCATGTGATCAAAATTCAGATGCTTGGCAACTGATTCATATTTATGACGGTTGCAGTGTCCTGGGAGAGGGGTCACGTGATCATCTTTTGTGACCTTCAGGTAAGCAAAATCAATGGGGAAGCCAGATTCACTTCACATCCCTTACTAACTTAGCAACTGCAGTGATTCACTTAACAACTGTGGCTAGAAAGCTTGTAAAATGGGGCAAAATTGACGTAACTACTGTCTCACTTAACAATGCAAATGTTGGGCTCAATTGTCGTAAATTGAGGACTACCTGTATTTATGGGGGAAACAAAACATCACACAGTTTGAGAAATCCTATATTACTTTATTAGCTGTCTGTTAATACAAAGATAATAGCTATTCAAACATTTTTACCTTCAGATTTTTTTACAATATTACTTTTTTCCTCCAGGAACACATACTCCATCTGCCACTGAACTAGTAGCTACTCCTTTATCCCCAGAGGAATTAAAGAAGCAAGAATTGAAGCTTAAATTGAAACAGGAATATTTTGCTGCACTGGAGCATGAAGGTATAATTTCTGCAAACACAATGGTTAAATATCTACCCGTTTAGGGCTGAGAAAATTAAATAAAACCCCAACATTTGTTTTGGATGTCAAAAGATGCTGTCTGAAAGACAACTGGGCTTTCTTGGGTTTTTTTCCTTGAAAACATTTTGCTTCTCTAAGAAGTTTCTTCAGTTCTTGGATGAGAAGCAAAATGTTTTCAAGGGAAAAAACCAAGAAAGTCCGGCACTTTTGGAACAACCATAACCTGGATGATTGAGAATCTCCGTAGACATTTGCCTTGGATGTTAACTATGTTCGCTTGAACTTCTTGTAGATGTTCTGCTTAACCTTTTTTTTAGGTTCAGGTGTTGGTTAATGTGGTTTGGTTTATCCATAGTTTGTTGAATAACCCCAATTATCCATGTATTAGGCTTACCATGTTTGTGAAAATCGCTTTCGTTTATTACTTTAATTTTCTAAGAACAGAAACAAAATAAGGCCAAATTGTTCTTTGCTAGATTGAATCGTGCACCAAAAACAACAAAGAACATTACTTTGCAGCCAAAAGACTGGTGTAGCAGATAAAATTTATCTGTGATGTATTCATAAACCATGGTTAGTTCAAAACATAGTTTTATATTGTGAAACTTTATTTATTAACGTAATCCATTACAAAACCATGTTTTAAGTATACATGTCGTTACAAGAGCCTTTTTTTTTTTGCAGAAATCCAACAGTGTTGATCAGGGACGTGCAGTCAGGGGAGGCAGGGGAGGCGGGGCCTCACCAGTGTCATGAGGAAAAGAAAAGAAAATTAAATTAAAAGGAAAAAGGCTAAGGTAGTTGCTGCAGAATGACTCTGCTTAGTGCTTAGTGCTAACTGCAGGGGGAGGCGAGAGAACTACGGGCCTCCTTTGCATAAGGAATTTTTCGCCGCTTTGTCCCAGAGCTCCGGCAGGCTCGCCGAGGAGGAGCCCGGACAAGGCTGGAGCGAGAGCCGTGGAGGCGAAAGGCTGGCCACTCGGGGCTTGGAAGGGGGAGCGGAATGCGGATCCTCCACTCCCAGAAAGTCCGGGGGGGGAGCGTGGCTGGCCTCTTTCCTCTGGGGGCTGCTTGGAGACGGAACTGGGGCTGTGGAGACTTGTCCACAGCCGGCTTCTCTGGAGCGGAGGGGGGGGGACGATAGAAGCGGAGCTGAGCCTCTTGCCACTGTGGGCCTGACTTGTGGAGTGCAAAAAGGGGAGGGGGCCTCTTGGAACACCCTCCCACCTCTCTTCTCCTTTCACCTCCATGGCTCTCGCTCCAGCCTGGGCAGGAACCGGTGCTCTTCTGCTGCGGGCGGGACGTACCCCTGGTGGCTTGCGGCTCCGGCGCCTGCAAGGTAGAAGTGTTTGCCCTGCGGGGCAGGCAAAAGCCAAAAGAAAGCTTCTGTCTGACATAGAGGCGCCCTGCGCCCCGCAGCTGGGTCGGACATAGTTGCGGGGCGTGGGACGCCTCTATTTCGGACATAGCTGCTGGGGGGGGGGGCAAAAGCCACTTTCTTTCTTTTTACCTCCCCAGCCATAAGCTTCACCGCACGTCACTGGTGTTGATACAGGTAGTTCTCAAATGAGCCCCACATTTCTGTTGCTAAGGTAACAGAAGTAATTTTCCTCCCATTTTAAGACTTTCTTACCATGGTTGCTAAGTGAATCACTGCAATTCTTAAGTTAGTAACATAATTGTGAATCTGGCTTCCCCATTGACTTCACTTGTCAGAAGGTCACAAAAGGTGATCACATGATCCCAGGACACTGGTATCATCATAAATATGAGTCAGTTGCCAATTATCTGAGTTTTGATCACATAAGCAGGGGATGCTGCAATGGTTATAACAGTCATAAGTTACTTTTTCCATGCTGTTGTAACTTCAAACAATCACTAAACAAACTGTTGTAAGTCAAGGACTACCTGTATACAGAATTAATTGCTCTGTTTCCTACATAATGCTTAATCTAATGAATGTTAGACCTTCAAAAATGATGAATGTGTTTGGATTTATGCTAACTACAAGCCATTTTTAAAATAGCGGAGGCTGCAAAATCTCGTCTTGAGCTGTTAAAAGTTAAAGGATTAGCTTTCCTGGAGGATCTACAATCAAAGGCAGAAGAAACATACAGGAATATGGAAAAATGGCTTGGCGAGAGATATCTTGCTGAAATGTCTAGGTAATAAATTGTTAAGAATGAAATAATATTATGTTACAATAGAGGAAACGAGGTAAAAATCATTTAAGTTCAAGTAAAAGCTTGAATACATAAGATGCAGAAATTCTGCATTATCTTTAATAGACAAACTACAGTTGTGTTTCTATAATTCTGGTAAGAGCAAATTGTGAGTAATAGTTTACATCTTGGGTGTGTATATGTAGTTAAGTACTGGTTGCATGAATTATAGTTTAAAAAGTAGCATTTATTGAAAGAAATGAAAAATATATTTTTTTTCTTACTGAACAGATGTGAATAGTTCTTTGAATGAGCCATGCAATTGTTTACCACTCTTTTATTCATTAAGCTTTCTATTAACGGCAGGAAATATCACTTTTTATTTATTCTTTCTGTGTGAAACCCCAACAAAACAAAATGAAGACAAGCTTTTGATCTCTATGCTTCTCTTGCATTTTGGCATATCTGAAAAACTAGTTTCGTGTGTGCTAATCCATAGGCTGAAATGCAATCTGGAGAGAATTATTAAGGTGGGAAATCCCAAACATTTTCTATCCATAATGTACTTGGAAATGTGAAGATATCATGACTTTGTGTCATTCCCATAGGATCTTTCCCAGTAAAATGAATATATTGCTACAAAGGTTTTTTCAAACATAGTTAAAAATTCACTCCAATTTCATAGGAAGAATAGAATAGAATAACAGAGTTGGAAGGGACCTTGGAGGTCTTCTAGTCCAACCCCCTGCTTAGGCAGAAAATCTTATACCATTTCAGAAAAATGGTTGTCCAATCTCTTCTTAAAAACTTCCAGTGTTGGAGCATACACAACTTCTGGAGGGAAATTGCACAAATGCCAATCAAATTGGGAGATTTGATTCAGCAAGAGACTTGTTTGGTTTTTCCAATAAAGGCATTTCAATAGCTGTTAGTTTCACATGTTCTAGAGAGCATACAATTATAGATTTTAATAGCATGCCTGGAGTTGAAGAATCACACTGGTTTTTCTAGGGACAAAGCCAGTAGAAAAATATCAATTGTCAGTAAAACTATTAATTTTAGATTTTGCCACGTTTTTCATTTTCAAGCATATGTATTGTTACAGTGTGGATAAATTAATTGGGGTTGCCCGGCATCGTATTGAAACTTCCTCCAGAATTCAGTTTGAGTTACTCCTGGAAGGAATAGATTTCTACGTAAATGGTGATATAAAAGTATTTGAGGATCCTTCTCTTCCACCTCGTCCCCCGTCTGTGGAGACTGCTTCAAACAGTACACTCACTATTTCACAGCTTAGTACTCTTCATAAGCAGTTTCTGCAAGTGGCACCTAAAGGTAAGAAAATACTTTTTTCATATATTTATCATAGCATATTAATGACTGTTTGAGATTTAAAGTGATTGAAATATTATATTTGTGTCCATAGTATATAAGGGTGTTTCTACAAAGGTTAAAAACAGGACAAAATGTGGATTTGTTGTTTTAAATAAAACCTTTAGATTGCTTTATACATTAACAGTGCAAACCTATTTTTCTTCACTGCACTTTCCTGCTGTTGTTCCTCAATACATTTTTAACATATGGGTCCCTCAATAAAATGTTATTTTGACTTAGCTGTCCTTTTTATATTCCAATTATTATAGATGCTTGCATCCTTTTCCACGTACACCCAAAGGGTGTGACTTTGTATTTTTTTAACTAAAAATATGTAGACGCTAGGTAACTCTGTCAAATAATGTTTTGTATCTCTGTTTAGACTCTTCAAATATACTATCTTCTACTCTCTTAATATTTCTATTGTCTTAATATTTAACGATATCATATCATAATAATATCATTGTGCCCTGACAATCTATACATTTTCTTTAAAATGAAGGACGTGTTTAATTCAAGATTCTGAAAAGATTCCAAAGAATTGCTTATAAAAGTTATGTTTGCTAAATTATTTTAAATAGCAGGCATTTTTTCCTAAAATGATAATAAAAATGTACAAATGTATACTAAATAATAAAAAAGGAAAGAAGTCCATGTGACCATAGTTAATTTCTAATATTCATTCATACAAAACGTGAAAGCTTTCCTGCTTATATTACCTTGCTCATTTAGAAACCATTAGATGTTACAATAATGTTAAGAAAAATAGTTTTGTGGCCAACCCTCACATTTACGATCGTTTCCCTCCTGTTTATGACCATATCTCATGGTCCTGTAATTGCTATTCAGGCACTTTGCAACAAGGTGCATTTACAGCGATCACAGCCTCCTACAATCACATGATCACCACTTGCATGCTTCTCAGTTGGCTTGTGGCAAGCAGAGTTAATGGAGAACGTAGAAATAAAATACCATGTTTCCCCGAAAATACGACCTACTCAGGAAGTAAGTCCTAGCTTGATTTTTACACATGCACCCAATATAAGCCCTACCCCCAAAATAAGGCCTAATTAATACCCTACCCACTCCAAGGTCCACAGGTGAAAAGCTAGGGTGTGGATGTGGGGGGGGGTGTGGATCTGATCTACTACTTACCTTCAGATAGTTGCAGCCAGGCCTCGCAGACCTTGGCTCATTTCTTCTGCTGCAGTCGGCCTTCCTGAAAGCCTCTGTAGTTGATAACACAGCTCCGGAGCTCTGTTACTGGTTGCAGAGGCCTTCAGGAAAGCCTTGCTGGATGAAGAAATTCCTGGAGGCCTCTGATAGAGAAAAAGAAGCCAGGGCAACACACACAAGTGAGGTGAGTCAGTAGACGACATCCCCCCCCCTTGAAAATAAAATCTGGTGCCTTTTTTGGTCGCAAAAATATATAAGACAAGGTCTTATTTTCAGGGAAACACAGGTAGTAAATTGTCATATGATGTTTTGTTTAACAATCCAAGTGATTTGCATAACAACCAAATGGAAGTGATGTCATAAGCCCAAAACAAGGATGTGATATTTCCATTTAGTGACCATGGCACATTGAGACAGAGTTGCCAGTCCCAATTGTTGCTAAGCGAGGACTACCTATAAACCTGATTATTCTTCTTTATAAAAGTATCCTTTCCAGGGATGGAGATGAAATTTATTGGTATGCTGTTTTTTAATGTTATTTTAGATAAGCCTACCTGGTTCAAATTCCTAAACAGATACTTGAACAGTAATACAATTTTCTGAACTTTCCCGAATAGTATGAAATAGGTTATAATGCCTGCTCTGCAAACAAATACAATAATGTGTGATTATGAAACAGTATATAGAAAATGGTTGCATTTTCACATGGACTTTTAAAGAATCAATATAAAAATAAGAAAAGGCAAAATTAAGGTTACAAAAATAACATAGCAAGTTAAATCAAATTTGACACATCTCTTGTGATGAAAAATATTATATGTTGCTAGATATTGTTTGGATAACAGTATCCAGAGAGGGAGCAGGATGATGAAAGCAGCTTTCTACATTATAATAGAATCCACGCCCCATTTTTACAGGCTTGCATTGCAATGACACAATAGTGCTTTTTTAATTTAGATGAAAGGAGGATGTTTCTGCAGATATCCTATGTTTAAATGCAGATGGCAGTACATGTTGTAGGGCTGTTCCCCTATAATATCTGAATTAAAAACAAGATTTCTATTAACATTTCTTACTTGAAGTATTCTATGTATTTGCTGACAATGTGTTTCAGAAGTATATATGTCTTTGTTGTATATATTTCTTCCCTGTTAATAGAAATAATAACAGGCTGTTCATATAACTATTATGAACTTCATAACATTAAACCTAATTCACTATACAGTATTTAAAAATCTTGGCATAGTATGCATGAATTTAATTAAGCATTCCTATGAGTTTATTCCTACTGTAGAAAACACTCCTAAGATTTAATGGAAGCTTCAGACAACCACAGTGTGGCATATTATTTTGGATTTGTCTCCAATAGCTTCTTCTTAAAATAAAAGAAAGAAATAATTTTGAGCTGTTATGATTGTAAAATAAGGAATAAAAACATGTCAGCCAAAGTTGCTGAAATCAGTCAACAATACTGCTGAATATAGTTTCAGATTGTATTAACTTCTAAAAAGATTAAAGATGAACATTTTATATTTTGCATAATTTTTTGGGAAGACAAGATTTCAGCTTCACATAGATAATCTAGTTAATACATAATTCAGTATATATCTTTGCACTAAATTTGGGTTATGGAAGAAAAAAATGAAATTTTCAGATGCCTCACATTTATTGTTTTGTAACAAATACAGTAGTTGAACTTCTATAATTTGGAGTAATTAATAATTGTAGCTCAAAATAATACTTATATTGCAATTGTGTTAAAATACTATAATGTTGTTATCATAAACATTATGAAATATTTATAGCCATAGCAGCACTGAAGCAACTTAAAAGCAAGAAGGTAATTCCAGGCAAACAAAACTATTCAAAGAAGAGTCGCCAGTTTCCAAACATCTGGATGTTGAAGTACACGTGGTTAAAATATGACAGTGACAAAGGCATCATGTACTGTGCTCTGTGTCGGAAACATAATGTAGACCTAGGGGAGAAGACACACAATTTTTGCTCTGGGACTGATGATTTTATTCTTGAATTAGTTGATGACCACCATAATAGTGAAGCTCATGCATGGGCTTCCTGTATGGAAACAGCTAGTAGTTCTACCCCAGACTCAGATACCACTCAGCATGTGTTAAAGAACATGAGTAAAACAACATTGGGAAAAATTGAAAACCTCTTTAGAACATGCCATGCCATTGCCAAAACTGGACGCCCCTTCACAGACCTGGACTGGATAAGTGAACTGGATGATACGAAGAGGGTGAACATTGGTTCCATTTTCAGAAATGACAAAGCAGCAAGAATCTTTATTCATTTTATTGCTGAAGTGGAAAGAAGAGCCTTGAAAGAAAAATTAGAAAAATGCAAGTTCTTCTCTCTCATTAGCGATGGCATTACGGACAGTGGAACAACAGAAGCAGCCCTTGTATATATACAGTTTGCACATCAAGGGAAAATCCACTGCCAGATTGTTGGAATTCAGTCCATAGACATGTATGATGCCTTGACAGTGAAAAATGCCATTTTAAAAACTTTACAAACCAATTTGAAAGTCAATTTGCCAACCCACGACTGGGCAAGAAAACTGGTTGGCTTTGGCAGTGATGGTAGAGATGTTATGGTAGGAGAAAATGGAGTAGCTAGACTATTGAAGGACATCCAGCCATGTATTCAGAGCATTCATTGTCTTGTTCACCATCTTGAAATGGCCTACAAGATGGCATTGAGGAACACTCCACTATTCAATGTACTTACGGATCTATTAAAAAACTTGTACTGTTTTTATCATGACTCTCCAATGAATAAGAACAACCTTAAGCTAATTTGTGAAGCCTATAAAGTTACACCAGTGGTTCCTTCTCGAATTGGTGGTTCTCAATGGTTTCTTCGCTTACAGACAGCTCTTCAGATCCTTCTGAAAGGTTACCCAGCAATTGTCCTACACCTGAGTAAGGTAAATACTTTTTGAAACTATAGGATTTGAATAACAACTGAAAAACTAGAAGTTTTCTGTCAGTGTTTTAACACCTTGTTTTTTATGTTGAGTTCCAGATGGGACAAGAATCAGACTCCTCAAATCAACGAAAAGTCAAAGATCTCTTGAAGTTTCTTCTAAAAACAGACATAGTTAAATTTTCTCACTTCTTATTAGATGTCATTAATGTCATCAACATTCTGTCTCGTGTTGCCCACAATCAAAACACTTCCATTGCAGACGTGTTTGCTACGATTCAGTCAACATTGGAGATACTCCAAGTGTATCAAAAAAGGTTGGATATTAACAATTACTGCATATATGCGTGTCTGAACTGAAAAGAGAGAGTTTAATTGCTTAAGTATCATGTTTTTCCCCTCAGATCAGGGCCACGAGAACGTCTGGTAGAGACAATCACATGTTTTCATGGTTACCCTCTTGTGGGTGATGGAAATATTTCAGCAACCCGATTAGAATTATTAAGCAGTCTCTTGAATCAGCTGCGAGATTGTTTTTGTGATGCTAGTGAAGATGTTTTGATCGCAAGCGCCATTGGAAGCTTTAAGCTATGGCCAGACAAATTCAAACAAGGTACACAAAGCACCCTGCAGTGGCTAATAAATGACTCATTTGTGAACGATATGGACTGCTTTAATTAATACGATTGTTCTTATAGAATTTGGTGAGACGGGAGTATCTCTACTGATTCAGCATTATGAGCCTGTCCTAGAATGGGCCAAAGTGAAAGTGGATGAAATTGAAACGGAATGGAATATGCTAAAAGCAGAGCTATATAATAGGTAATAAGCCTGTTGCCTTAAATCCAAGTTTGTTTTACTGCTACACTAGCAAAAGGAACATGTTTAGTAATAAATGTTATCTTTTCTAGATATGAAAACGTCCGGAGCTTAACGTGGGATTTGGTAAACAGAGATTTTTTCCATAAATATCCAAACATTTTGGCCCTTATTGATCTTCTCTTGACACTGCCAGCAAGTTCCAGTGAAGCAGCACGAGGCTTTGGTCAAATGAAGCTGACAATGATGAGGCTGCGTTCAAAACTCATGTTTGAAAGCATGACGGATCTCATGGTCATTCAGCTGAATTCTCCTGAGATCAAAAATTTTGATCCCCAGAAAGCTGTTCAGTTGTGGAATATTTCTTGGCAAAGGAACAGAAAGTTACAAGCTAATCGGGGGGATCCTAGGGGGATCCCGGTTGGATTATCTCCTTGTGAGAATTCTGATTCTTCATCTGATTCCGAATGGGAAAAGGAAAGTTCATTTGGAAGCAACTAGTTGTGCAACATTATTTCTGTCTCAATTTCATGCAAAGGCATTGTTTCAACAAATAACTGTTTAGTAATCATTATCTCCTTCCCCCTCCAAAAAAACACTCCAATTAAAAGCAAAGTGTGCAGTTGTGTACTTAAAGGAGCTGCAACGGACATTGTGTAGGGTTTAATGCATTTGCTAACTTTTGCATTTCAGACACAAAATATGTTTGTTGAGTGCTTTAGTAGCAGTTTTGACTTTTCCGCCTCATGAGACACACCACTTTCTAAAGTTGCTAATACAAATATATGTGAGAATGACGTTGAAGGGAGAGGGGAAGAGATACCTAAGAAATGATAAGACAGGAAAGGACAGTCCAGGGGAAGAAACTTAGAAGGGGTCTGCCCTGATTGATCAAGTGATTAAAAATGGCAGTGGGGCCTTATGCCTTCAGACTTACAAGATTTTGTCAATGTAGCCTTAAAAGTAGAATTAGCTCAACTAGTTGCATTTCTTGTCTAGTTTACCTAGGGAGGCTGGCAAGAACCCATCCTTCCCAGGTTCAATGGACCATTTCAGATTTTCTTCATTTAGTTATTTTTTCAAAAAAATAGTTATAAGGTTGCAATCAAAACTATGGGGGACAACTATAAGAACATCTCTACTTTTAGATTAATGTAGGGGACTTTGTGGTTGATTAAATTTGGGGAATCATAAATTTGCATCATTGTTGATTACTACATATATTGTTGATATTTTTACTGGCAATATAAGAGAAATCCTGCCTCTCTAACTTTTTCCAACTCAATTTTGAGTCTGCCTCCATCACCACCTTATTGTTTTTTTCATGATTCTTAAGAATGAACTGCCTCCAGAGCATCGTATAATCCCCGACCTCCGGCCCTTCCAACGCGCCCTAAAAAGTTGGATTTTCCAGCAAGCCAGCCTGGCCTGAACAAAACAAAATAATTTATTGATTATTGTTAATTTTAATCCAATTTTTTAAAAATGTTATTGTGAATCTTAATTGGGTTTATTTTTTGGATATTCTATCTAATTTTTTTAAACTTTTGTAATATGTATTTTTTTAATGTTGTACGCTGCCCTGAGTCCTTGGGAGAAGGGCGGCATATAAATCCAATAAACCAAACCAAACCAAGACCCAGTAGTTTCAGCTGTGGGAATGGAATGTTTGAAGCTTCCACCTACAAATTACATGTTTTTCATCATATAAAATCACAACTTTTAATTAATTGTAAAAACAAACCATCCATCATTCACACCTAGAGGGAGAGAAATATATAGCTACAGTATAAAGAAGATATCTCATTGCATAACAATTTAAAGAGATTTGAATAGGAAAAGAAATGTGGGTTTGTTAAGATAAGGACCTTCCAGGGAAAAGTACATGTAACAGTTAAAGACTTTATAAAATATTTTTACTCCATAACTGAAGATTTTTTTTGAAAATAATTGTTTACTCAAATGAAGTTTTAAGCCTTTGTTAAACAACTAGAAATAAAATAGCCTGCAGAAATATTAGAGTAAAACTGGGACTATGGACATCTCTGTTAATACTTTTATTCTATTGACTACCAACACTTTTTAACCATTTAGTATAAGATATCTCAGCACTTGAGCATAATTTCTTTTATGAAATTAAAACACGCATACAGATTTTTGAGAAATGAAATAAATATGATTTTGGAACAGATGTCTTTAGAAAAGTTGAGTAGTTTTCATATTGAAAAGCTAGATATAGCCAAGGTCTTTCTGTAGAGCAGGGCTAAAAATATGCTGCAACTTATCAAGGATGATAGGAGATAAAATCCAATATTGTTAGAAATACAATTTTCAAATATGGTGTAAAATACAAAAATGCACTGTAGGGATTTCCAAACATTTTGCCTCTAACAAGATACTGAAGAATGGAAATAAAATTCTTTGAAATGTGTGTTCTGCATTCCAACTATATATTTGTGTCACGGCTGAAATGGAGAAATAATTATTAATGTTCTTACTACTTTTTCTTCATCTGGAAATGAAATGTCTTGCAATGTAAGTTCCACCCGGAGCATATTAATGTCTTTTATACTTTGTATCATACCTTGATAACTTGATCTCCCAAAATGAAAGAATTGTTTTTTCTTAGCCAGTTGGTTCATTTATTTGAATGCTCTACATGGATTTGAACTGTTGGAATGGGTGTTGGGTAATGGGTAATTGTAAATGTTTCTTTAAAATCAATACAAAATAATAAAGGGGAAAAAGAAATGTAATACAGTGGATAATTAAGAAAACTCAAAAAGTCCAATGCAGAAGGAATTATGTTTGTAATAAAAACTTGAGGAAGCTATCTCTCTGTCTCTCTCCCCTACAAACCTTGGATATGTCTTGTGCTCCCTGGATAAAAGCTAAATCCACCTAACCACAGAAGGTACCACTGCATTTGCATAACTTCAACTTTCTTAATGCTTTCAAATTTTGCAGTTGCAACTGTAGAAATAGAACCTTGCAACCATCAAGTGCATGCAGTTAATTAATTGGCTCATGGAAAGGGAGCTTGGTAGAAATTAGGCATGGCACGAAAGTTCATTGCGCTTAAAATAGCATCTGCAGAAGGAGAAATTCTTTCCCTGGTTGGGATAAGAATCAGAGTCATTTGCTAGTGAAAAGGCAAACGTAAAGTATACAAATGTAAAGTAAAAGTAAAATGAATATAAATTCGCATCACTTGCATGGATCGCCTTGAATCTTTGTTTCCTATTCTCTTCTGCCAAGGGATTCCGTTTGGAATACAAATTAGATTCAGATACATATTTTGCTTTAGTATGTATGCATTATCTAATCAAAGGTTTATAACCAATCGTCTCAGTCTTTGTGAAGAGTCTGTACATTCTTGAAACAATACCATGCATACTTTTGATTGGATATGCTAAATTCTGTTTTCTGCTCCACACTTTTCCTTAAAGAGCTCTTGACACTGTACATGGTTGCTCTCTTTCCTGGTCCCTCTTTTTATCCTCATAACACACCTGAGAATTAGATAAGTTGAGAGAACTAACATATGAAACCCACAGTTTCATCTCGATTTTGTACCTACCTATATATTACTTTTTCTTTGCTGATGTCCTGCATTGTTCCATACCACTTGTGCTCTTCCCATTCAAACTGACTTGTGGTAAATGTGTCCATCCTAATGGAGACTTAGGGAATAATCTCCTTGGGCAAGTCAACTAAGGATCCACCACTCAGACCTAGTGAAAGCTGCCACTGGTTTCTGTCATCAGGACTTTGCTGTTGATAGAGGGTGGATCAAGACAGAGTGGGGTCCATTCAAAGTCCTCTTGTTCTCAAGATGCTCTTAAGAAGGGGCTAAAATAATGCCAGAATTGATGTTAGTATAGAACCTGTCTTAAATACCACTTGTTCGTCACCATTGAATGGTTGTTGAACAAATGGCTGTAACCCAAAGACTCCCTGTGTGAAGGCAACAACTTAAAATGTATTTATTTGTCAGATTTCAAGGCCACTCAACTCAAGAATGAGTCTGAGTACCTTCATAAAGTTAAAAAGATCTTGCCAAAAAACATTCTATCTCAAAGCCTTGGGGAGGCGGGGAGACTCACTTGGAGGCAGGGAAGGTGGTGATCTCTAGGGATGGCAGTGACAGAAAAGGCTTTCTTCATGCCTTGCACTGGGTGATATTGATGATTTAATGGAAACCAAAGCAAGCCATATAAGAGAGAGGCACTACAGGAGAGAAGATGATCTATCAATTACCTAGTCCCTATGCAATGTAGGTCTTTATAAATGATAACCAGCACCTTGAATTGCACTGCAACCAATTGATAACCTGTGCTGCCATGTAGTAGAAGGGGTTTTTTGCATGTAGTAATCCTTCAATAGAAGAGAATATGTTTAGCCCAGGATTGAACTGTATAGTCCTTGCTGCTTTCTGAGCTTGGGTTGCTTACCTTCAGACATTTCATTATTTAACTAGGTACAACATTGGTGCTAGTGATGGCAGTGCAAACCCCACATTTAGCACTCATGATGTGCTAGATGTTGTTTTTTCAGCTCCAATTTGGAAACCAGTTATTTATTATGGGAATCAGCCATTGTTCTGAATAAAGAAGGAGCAGGATACTCCTTTTGTTTCCTCTTGGATCATACCTGATTGATAGTAACCCACAGCTTTGTTTACATAGTTTAAAGAAATTGAAATGTACATCATTGTACAATTACATATAAAGTAAATTACAGTCTTTGTGTATAGAGTATAATTAGGAAAGAAAGACAGGAAAATAGGCAATATACCTATTAGGCAGTGAAATTTAATTGATTTTTTAAAAAAAACGTATATTCCATTTTGACCCATTCCTCCTCTTTTTTCTTATTTGCCTAGGTTTAATACCAAGTAAAACATTCATAGATATTTTGTTTGATTTGATCACTCTGAATCTTGGGTCCAATATGCTTCCTGATGCCTGGCTACATCTCTCTATGTATGATGTAAGTATCCATCAGGGCACTTGTGAGGGAAAAATCTAAAAAGTCAAAATGGAGACCATAATTATACAGTTGTGACTGCCAGCTTGACCATTCCTATGGACCTCTGGTGTATGTGATGTTGCTTTAGTTTTGACTTGAATATATTGCTAGGTGGTTGAATTATAAAACTTAGGGGTAAATAGTTTTAGAAGGATCTGACATATTGCTTGAATGGAGATGATGTTAGCAATTTATAAAGGGAGCTTGTTTACTGATGTGTATGAAAGGCACTAATCAATTAAATCATTTTCAGTATTTCTGGAAGTCAACTTATTCGATTTGTTTCATATTGTGGACAGCCTGCCTTCAAGACCAAGTGAAATCTAACATGAAGGTTGCTTTCATATTTATGTGTGTTATTTATTGATTTGGTAGATTTATATCCTGCTTTTTGTTGTTCTACTACTGTTCCTCACAATTACTTTGGAACGATCTCCCCGTGGAGATTCGGACCCTCACCACCCTTCAGGCTTTCCGTAAAGCCGTTAAGACCTGGCTGTTTCAGCAGGCCTGGGGCTGCTGAGTCCCATCCCCTACTCGAATGGGTATGCGTGTTGAGACCTTTTAGACTGTTTTGTACTGTTGTTTGTTTTTTTGTGGCTTTCCTTTTTGTATTGTCCTCCCTCCCCCTCCCTTGGTTTTGTTAGCCGCCCTGAGTCCCTCGGGAATAGGGCGGCATAGAAGTCAAATAAAACCTTCAAACCTACTGTATCCTGTAATGTTGATTGGACTGCAGAAAAATGACCAGCCCAAAATTGTCAAGTGAGCTTCCATGATTGGGAATGACCATGGAGTTTATAGGTCCCCTGAGTGCCAGCTAACCCTAAATTACCACTTCTCAATTTGGCAACTTTAAAAGTATGGACTTCCTCACTGGGGAATTCTGGGACAAGAAGTCCACACCTACAGACTGGAGATCTCTTGGAGTTGAAGTCCATACATCTTACAGTTGTCATGTTAAGAAGTTCTGCCATAACTATGGAGAAACTCCCCATGACAAGAGAAAGCCCAGTCATCTTACATTTAAAAAGAATGAAGTAGACTGTTGCTTTGAGAGGGAAAAACATGATTTGTTTTTATTGGGCATTGCGGATGATAGGTAAACATTATGGGAAGCTGCAGGCAAGTCAGAAGGGTATCTCAGAAAAGATACCTCAGTCCAGTTGCTGAGAGATGGGGGGGAAAGCATTTAAAAGAGAGCTCACTTTAATTATGTCTGTGAAACTCAGTGGGGCTGAAAAACTATTTACAGTTTTCAAGACTCTGTGTATTCACCCAAAATAACATTAAAACAATTGGGGTGAGGTAGGGGTGTTCAATTCAGCCTCGACTCCTGATACTAATGGCTCTCAAGTACGAAATATACTTACCTAATTGAATTATCATAATCACTTTAAGTCCTCTACATGTCTGTCCAATTATTTATCTATCTAACTCCCACCTAATGGCTTCAGTGTGTGTGTGTGTGTGTGTGTGTGTGTGTGTGTGTGTGTGTGTGTGTGTATTGGGCTTTGATTTCCATGCTTCCCAAACTCCATGGCTTGCTGGGAATTCAAAAAGTTGAAATCCAGCAACAATATCCTGTCCTACATTGTGCATTCCTAATCTTTTTACTCTATGGGATCATGCATTCATCTCTGTGTTTGCAATTCTATGTTACAGTTGCAGAGTCTATCGTTATTCCTACTTGTGAATTTGGACACAGTGGACTGGCGGAGATTCTTACATGCAGCTTCCCAACCTTGGCCTATTCCCTCTGTAACGGAACTGCTTGAAACATTACAGAGATTTCAAGACGTGGATACTGAAGGATCTGGATTTGTCACCCAGGAACAATATGATCAGGTTCCAGTCCTTTATATTTGCCTTTTTAAGCGTTTGTGACTGAATCTTACTGAAAGCAATGAGATAAGCAGGTAGCCAAGCCTATATTGTCAGATCATGTCACAATCAGTGCCCATCAGTGCAAGCAAAATTTTATTTTGGCCAACCCTAGTCAAAGTACCCCTCTCTAAGCATAATTGCTCAACCCCACCTCCTTTTTATAAACATTGTGGCTTTTCAACACTTCTCTGCTATGCACATAGACTTAGGAGGTAAACCTCATTGCATGTAGTGAGACGTATTTCAGAGTAAATATGTATTGGATTGTACTTTACATGTGGTTTGTGGCTCAGCATGGGCCACTGTGTCTGTGTGTCTGAGAGTATGTGCTGATACGTGTGAAAAATGAAAACAACTGAATAGAAGTCAGTTTCACTCAATGTAATTAATACATTAAATAACTTCATTTACCTTCACTTTAGGTTTCATTCTGATTTGTAAATATCTCCCCACTGTTTCTTTGGAAAGACAAAAGAGCCGAGGTTCTCAAGAAATCTCTGTGGTTCTTGAGGCATAGTAATACATAACAAATGGATGCTTTGTGCATAGTAGAACGGTAGCATACAATCAGAGAATCTATGCTCAGTCCTCTTAAGCGTGTAAGACAGCCCAATGGCATATTCCCCCTCTCGAAAACATTTTTTGAAGGAGATTCTTTGTCTCCATTCTTTAAAATATTCTGATTCTATTCATGATAATTTGGATTTAAAAATGCCACTGGGGGCTCCAATTTAACTAAGAAAGGGATAAGTAAGTTTCCCAATTGTTTATATAAATTACAATTGAACTATTTCTAAAGTCATCTAGAGAAGTATAGTAACTTGTATTTACATTTAAAAATCTTTAGTGATGACATAAAAAAATGGAACTTCAGTTGGATAAATATACAGCATGGGAAATCTAAAATGGATCAATTGAATACACAGGAAACTATGGAGTGGCATTAAAATCAAAGGATTGACAATGGAGAAAAGTTGCAAATATTTTGATGTTTTAAAGCAAACAAATACTTGCATGCCCAAACCATCTTTCATCTTTCAACATGACTCAGAATTTTTTTTAGAATTTGTAGTGATTTGCAATAATACAATCAAAACATTCAATATTTGGGTTGGACCTGTAATACAATAAGCAAATATTATGGACTGAACACTACAGGTAGTCCTCATTTAGTAACCATTCAAAGTTACAGGAGCACTGAAAAAAGTGACTAATGGCCATTTTTCACATTTATGACCATTGCAGCATCCTCATTACATTCAGATGCTTGACAACTGACTCACATTTATAACGCTTGCAGTGTCCCAGGTTCAGGTGATCCCCTTTTGCAATCTTCTGACAAGCAAAGTCAATGGGGAAGCCAGATTCACCTAAAAACCATGTCCCCAACTTAACAAGTGTAGTGATTCACTTAACAAATGTGGCAAGAAAGGTTGTAAAATGGGGCAAAGCTCACTTAACAAACTTCCCATAGAACAACATAAATTTTGGGCTCAGTTGTGGTCATAAGATGAGGACTACCTATATTTGACTGAAATGCCTTAGAATTGATAGACAATATCATGCATTACATACAAAAGGATACAAAAACTGTTTTATTTAACAGGGAAAATGGTAGTCATGGTTTGTTGCAACTGAAGCAGACACTGGAGGATAAAGTCAGAGGCTTAAATGATTATATAAATGCAAGCAAAGGGAAAGTCCTAAAAATGTCTAACAGGAAAATATTTTGAATGTGACTGAATCAAAAGTAGCCTATAATACAAAATTGTCTAGACAGGTTATAAGGCAAAACATGACTGTGGAAGAAAAACAGCATATTAGAATTTTTAAAAAAGTATGGCCCTGATGTCTTCAAATATTCATACAATCACAAGATTGAAAAAATTCTGTGAAAGTTTATGTACAAATTGTATGGAACTCCAACATTCACACAGATTGAGATTTAGAACACAATTCCACCAAGCATCACAGTAGTTGAAAAAAAACAAGTTTTACTTATAGATGTGGTAGTTCCAAATAATAAAGTAGCTCAAAAGTAGCTGAAAAAGATTGTAAAATATCCTGACTTAAAAAGTTAAATGAAGATTATGGAATAAACCAGCAGTTTTTTTCCTAATAATTATTTGAATCTTAGGAGCTTTAATAATAAAATTTGTCAAAACAACTGAAAAAATAGAATTATTCAGGTTTACAGCATGTATCTTACAAGTAGCAGCTCTGCTTGGAAGCACATCTAAATTAGAACAGTTTATGGCAATTCATTTAAAAAAAAAACTTTTTACAAACACAAAATCCCTTCATTCGGGACAATTCATAGACTTTCGAATAAAATTTAAATTGATCCTAAACTGCCATCATTTGCCAAGTGATCTTCAAAAGAGAATTAATCATTAGTATCATGAAAGAAGTTTGAAAGATACATGATGGTATTTTTATTATAGTAAACATTGAAACTTCATTTGAAGGTTTTTAAAATAACCATTTCCTACCCTGTAATCTTTTTCCTCGAGAGACTTTGATTTTGTTTTCTTTTGTTTTTGTTTTGTTTTGTTTTGTTTTGTTTTTTGTTTTTATTCCTTCTCAGCAGTTTCCTTTTTGGAACTCAAAATAGCTATTACTTCTCCAACTCTGGTTGCTAGCAGCATACTCTATGCCTTCAGGCAGGTTCCATCATAAAGTTACAGAGGTTAAAAACTGATTTTTATAATATTCATTATCATAGTCTCCTGCTCCATAGAAACAGGTAGAAAAAAATAGGATATTGGAGAAAAATAGTTCCAGAATTATAATTTATAAATGTGTTGTATGAATTGAATATGAGGAAATTGTTCCATGGTCAGGATTAAATATTTGGGTAAATTTGTCCATGGTCAGTTAATGAATCAGCTTTGCTTTGCATTCTCTTTCCAAATCCATTCAGTTAACATGGGAATTACTTCTTTTGCCACTTAAAATATCATGAGAGAATTTTGGATTAGAGAGAAGGAGAGAGAATTCTTGCTTTCTCCTCTCCCAATGGTCCATGTTTAACTGCTTAGCTCAGGGGTGTTAAACTCAAAGCCTGTGTGCCGAATCCTGCCCACAGAGTGTTTAGAACTGACCTGCGTGGCCACCCTGAAAATAGCAAAGGACTGGTTGCCTCTGTCAGCGAAAATGGAGCTTGGGAGGAACACATACGGCCCTCACAAGCTCTCTTTTCCCTGGCAGAGGGTTGCAGGAGACCATTGCAGCCAGAAATGAAGCCCGGGGGCCTGTTTTTGCTGGCAGAGCACTCAGGCCATGACAGGCGCCCCCGACACAAGTGATGTAGAGCTGGCCATGCCCCATGCCCCCCCCCAAAGTCAAAAACAACTCTGGTGGGACCCTCAATGAAATCGAGTGTGACACCCCTGTCTTAGCTCAAGTCTATGAAAAGAATATATGCTGTTTGGATAAAAGAATGCATAAGAATTTGGAGGATTCTGTACTAAAAAAAGAAAAAAGGACAGGGGGAATAAAGGGCTGGTGTATTTATACAGAAAGTCCTGTGTTCTTGGTTTCAAAAATCCCATTCTTGTGCATTGTGTTTAATGGGGATGCTCAGTCAAATCCTATCCTACTGGCATTGGACAAGATAAAAAGGGACACAGGGAATCAATGAAGCTGGGGTGGAAGTAGAGGGATTTCTCAATATATAATTGGAAAACCAGTTTGGAGTTGTGGTTAAGGCACAAGGCTAGAAACGAGGAAGCTCTGGATTCTACTCCTGCCTTGGGCACAAAATCCAGCCTTAGACTCAAAGCTCAGATCTAGGAAGAAAGAAATGGCAATCCACCTCCAAAATTTTGCCTGAGAAACTGCAGGAACATGTTCAGGCAATCAGTAGAATTGAATACTGATTATAATAGCCTACTTTCTTGAGAAGAATTCAATGAGTACAAAGGTCAATACCAGCTAAAGTACTAGTGTTTAGATGATGATGATGATGATGATGATGATGATGATGATGATGATGATGATGATGATGATGATGATGATGTAATATTTCAGATGGCTGCCTTCCACAGATTCTGTCCTAAATAGGAAGACTTTCTCCAACAGTTTTGCAATGTCATGTCATTTCAATAAAGGATGGAGTGGGTGTCGTTTCTTACCATAGATTTTAATATGTGGTAAAGGCTTATCAAGTGGTAAAACGTCCCCACATTAATCATTCAGTAAGCTCATAGTCTATATTCATTATCCTTCTTTATGTATCCTTTCAAAAAAAAACATTGTCATGTTTTCAGGACAGAAATGGAAGCAGCAACAGTCTCCTTTTCAAATCATGGGACAGGAAAAGATTTATTCCCTATTCAGGATGATAAACCCACAAAGAAATGTAGATCTGTTTTATGCACACCTACACAGAATTGCGGTATTTTGCTTCATATAGGTAAAGAGAGAGAAAACAAACCAAAACAGAAACAGCACAGGAAGTTGGGTAGAACAATTTTTGGGTTCAGCATCTCATATCCCATCCTCCGATGTTTAAAATGATAAATGTGGGTGGGAGAGAGAAAAACAAACGTGTTTTTGAAACAAATCAAGATACTAAATCCACCCATAATTTTTTAAAAATCAATTCTCAAAATGAAATCCCAATAATGTTATTGAAAGGTAATATCTCATTAGAGCTTTCTAATTTGGACATATTTTCCACGGATTTTTGAAGTGTGGAAAAGTTCAAAAACTTAAAGGTTGTGAACAGTGGTAGTCCAGAGGATAAGATTTTCATTTGTTTGCTTTAGGTTGGTCTGTGGTTTAAAGGCAGGGAAGATTTACCCGTTCCAGAAAGTCCTATAGAGCCTTTGCCATTTAACCGTCAGAAGCATCTTATAGAAGTAAGTATAAATATTCAAAGGCCATAATCCAAGAGAAAAAGAGTAAGGCCGCCATTTTCAGTGGATTCCAAACACCGTCCGTTATATTCCAACAATTCTCAAGTAATGGGTGAATGCTACTTGTAGTTAAGGTTTTTTTAACAAAATATTTTTGTTCTGAGGCACAGTTGATAATTTGCTTGACTTTCAAATCTGAACACAAGTCATTGTCCATTTCTGATTATTTGTAACAGTTAAATTCAGACATTTCTGCTTTTCAACGCTGATTCTATATCCATAGAGTTATTTCCAGAGCTTAAAATAAAAAGTTTAAAAAATGATGATTGGAATGAGAGAGAGACTTAAATATTTTAATGAATGGGGAAGAAGACAATATTTTAGAATTAGCAATTTTATGGGGATTTTTCCATGCATGTGAGATGCAATAATACATATACATTTTCATGCTGACCCACAACCACTTATAATTTCTCAAATTGAGAAATAATCTGTCAAACTGAGAAAGAGATTTCTGTTTTTCTTCCTTATTCTCAGGCTGTGTGACTATTTCTTTGAAATTCCTTTCTATTGTATTTCAGAGCTGATCATGTTTCTTGTTATAAGTGTTTTCTGTGTTATGAGTCTCCCTGGTTACCCACTCTTCCTCCACTCTTAAAAGCTTAAAGAATTCTAAGAGCATAAAAAATGGTCTACTGGTAAGGCCAAGGCCCATTTCAAGTCAATATTTGTTCCTCACAATGACTAACCAATGCTTCTGGTACCTGGAAGCAGGAACAGAGGCATAACCTTTTCCCACTCCCTGTGATTAGATCATGCTATCTCCAACCTGTTGTTAATCCTTCATATACATAGTACATCTTTTAAAAACATTCAAATTAGTGACTGTTGTTATGTTTTGTCATAATGAATTTCAGAAGTTTTTTTTTTTTGTGCTGGATGAAGATTAGAGAAGGATGAGGTTCCATTCTGTATCTCCTTCCAATCAGTCCATTCTAGTATTTAGGAGAGGAATAAAAATGTATAACAAAATAACAGAGTTGGAAAGGAACTTTGGAGGTCTTCTTGTCCAACCCCCTGCTCACACAGGAAACCCTATACCATTTCAGACAAATGGTTGTCCAATCTCTTCTTAAAAACCTCCAATGTTGGAGTACCCACAACTTCTGGAGGCGTTTCACTGATTAATTGTTCTAACTGTCAGGAAGCTCCTGATAGGAAAGTCCTAGTCTGGACCTCTCCTTGATTAGTTTCCATCCATTACTTCTTGTTCAGCCTTCAGGTGCTTTGGAGAATAGGTTGAACGCTTCTTCTTTGTGGCAGACCCTTAGATATTGGAACATTGCTATTATGTCATCCCTAATCCTTCTTTTCATTAAACTAGACATACCCAGTTCCCGCAACCATTCTTCCTGTTCACTTTCTCCATGGTACATACAGGTTTTATGCACTCAGGTCCCCTTAGTTACCTTTTTTCTAAGCAATATTCTATCCTTTTCTCATGTGGAAGTTGCTTGAGCCACAGGTAATTTTGACTGCTGTCTTATACATCTTCCAACTGTATTGCATATTTTCTCAAATATGGTGACCAGAAGTTGCACACTATTCAATCAGCCTACCATAGATTTGCATGAGTCTGTTAAAAGATTGGCAATAACCCTTTTGCCTTTTACCATCCTGAATAGTACATCCACAAACTTGGTCAAGAGTGTACTTTTTCATCATTTTTTTGCTGCAATAATTTCTATACGCATTTTTCTTCAATACCACCTTTTTCACTTCATAATTCCATCAAGCATCACTTTTCATACTTCCCACACTTATTCTGAACCTTGCAGTATAATTCTTTTCATGCTGCTCCAAGTATATTCAATATTTTTTCCTTAGTTCTATTTCCTATTCATTCTGTTAAGAGGTTAATGCATTGTATGTTTTTATACAATCACTATTCTCATTCATTCTTTGGTCCCTGAATGTCCCAATAACATTTTCTGTATTGTCTCCTCTTGTTTCCATTCTTCTGCTCATTCATGTTTCTTCCAATTGTACTCATTCAGGGTATTATATGGTTTTCCTTGGTTCTTTCGTTATTTATTGATTTGAATTCAATGACCTCCTGTCTCCCAGGAGTCATTCTGTGTGGCTTGTCATTGAATAGAAATTTAAAAAGAAAGGAACTAAAACAAAAACACGACAGCTACCAGAAAATAAAAACAGAATAACAAAATAACAAAATGAATAACTGAAGCCCACCTTTATATATTCACTCAAAAACCTTTCATTTTTGTTGGAATAACCTTGAGACCTAGAGTGTTAAGATGTACCAGTAACTATCCTTTATTTGTGCATTCCTACTTTCATACATGTGTATTAAAATATAGATGTCATAGGTTCATTGTTTTTGACATGCATTTTAGACTTTGCATTCATTATTAAATCTATACTTCATTTCCTTGCATATATTTAACAGTTCCATTCCAAAATCATGTCACCTTTTTTCAGAACTATTGCAGATCTCTTTTTCCTGCTTTTACAAACAGGGAACCAACCTATCTTCCTTCCTTCCTTACTCACTCGCTCATTTTATTTGACTTCCCTTCCTTTGCCTTTCCTGATTAATTCATCCTTATATAAGTTATTCTTTTTTCATGCCGTTGCAACCTTTAATGTGTTATGGTCATCATTAGATGAGCCTATGGATGATATCTTCTGCTGTCCATCAAAACTTTCATGTAAAGATGTTTAGTATCACAGTAAAGGCCTAGACTAGGTTCCCCACCTTAGCTACATACATACTGATTTGTTGTGATTAAACAAAATATCCAATACAGTACGTCAATTAATAGAACTGTTTCTTTTTGCAGTTTTTGTTCACTTTATTTGCTGATCCTGAAAAAGACCCTCCTCAACTGAACTACACTAACATGCTGCTCTACTTCGCCTCTTACCCTGATGCTGTAGATGGTGTCTATCGAGCTCTTAGTGTCGCAACAGGGATATATATTCAAAGGAAGAGCGATAAACACTTTTCTCTTCCTCAAATGGTAAAAAATTAAGAATACTTGATAATACAAATCTTGATTTAGTTGGTAACAAACATATATATGTTCCATAAAGCCAGCCTCTTCTGATCTCTCATTATATCTGCTGCCCAGATCTTCTGGAGAAAAGGCAGGATGCATATGCAGAATACACAGAATACAGAATAAATAGTACCTGTCCAGTTAATATACAATTGGACCAGATAGTAATAAGAATGCAGTGCTTGGTAGTCAGGCTTTCTGTCCATCGCTCATATTGATTAGTTATGTTCAGTTCTCTGTTGCAGCCAGTCTTGATGCCTAAGATGGGGCTAGAACTCACAGTCTCCTGGTTTCTAGCCTGGTGTCTTAATCACTAGGCCATCTTCAAGAAAACCTGAAAAGCTTAGTTTAAGCACAACAAATATGTTTCAGTAAACATCTTGGCAATATTATAAAATTGCAGACAAGAATACAATACCAGCTAAACTGATTGAAAAAGAGTGACATTTTTACAGTAGTACATACAGCAAGGTTTCGGCAGCTTAACAGAGTTAGCAAAGGTTTCATTTACACAGAGGAACATCCAGTACTTTAACCCTTCTAAAAACAATGTTTGGAAGTTGTTCAAGGTTCTAGGGGCAGAACGTTGGTTTCATCTCCTTATGGATAACAGTGGAAGCTGTCAGTTTCCCTTTTTATATACTGTTTCATGTACTGTTGACTGTACTGTCAATGCACAACATATGTACAATGAGATTGGCTGAGCCTCCCTTAGTACATCCCCCCCAACACAAATACATCTCTATTATAAAGTTCTTTATTTTTTTCATTTTCATAACATGTAAATCACATGCATACTGTTTCATAGCCAACATCATGTTATATTATTAAATGTTTACATCAATTCATCTTACCAACAACTCCCAAAAACAATTCACAGGTCTGCGACTAAAAAGCTGTTTGATTATTTTCATCCAATTTCCATGTATTTTGGTGTGCTGAAAACAAATACAATATTGAAAAAACTCCTAGATGTCATGATTTGCCACAACCTGCAAAGTTGTCTTCAAATTTATCTTTTTTTTAATTTTTAGTATTTTTTTTTATTTTATGGGTTTTTAACCAAATTTAAAGTCCAAATTACTATTAATTAATTCACATAAGTG